CAATCTCATGGAGAAATCGAAACAAATGAACACAACTGCACACAGAAGAAACATACTACAGTAAAAAAAAAAATTTAGTTTTTATATATTACATAAATCCTAATTAATTAACATGACACAACTTTCAAATTTAAAAGTAACTTTTTTTTTGTATTTTTTATAACTTTTATAATAAAAAACCTCAGCAGTGGAAAATTTGGTTTTGTTAATACTGATTTCATTTGATTGGTAACAGCCCTATAGTCTTATTATATTAAGTGAAATTTTTTATAAAATGTAAGAATTTGATATGAAACATGACATGCATTTAATAAGGTTAGCAGGAAATGCCCTTTTTATCGGCAAAAAAAACCTGGAAATCAATTCAAATAAGTTTTAATATGCAGTAACTTTAGTCATATAAAATGTAATTTTCCAGCAACAAAATTGTGGCCAGTGAAAATGCTGAGTGGCTAGCACTTTTGGAAAACCACTAGCCACAGTGGCTGGTGAGCAAAAGAGTTAATGTCAAGCCCTGTATACAGTGAATACTTGTATTAATACTTGTATTGCAGTAAAAAATGTGGTGTTTAACCGGAGTACGGTGGTGAGGGTGCTTGACATGTGTCAAACACTAGAAAGGGGTGCACGCTGCAAAAAGTTTGGGAACCACTGCTCTGGATCATGATCAGCAATGTTTTGTTTAGTTTTTTTGACTGCTGCAGGGTTTTGTAGTGCGACACAAGCCCAAGCTCTAAAGGTCAAGCAGATTAACCAAAGCAGTTCATAAACTTTCATAAACAATTCATCAATGAAAATCTTTAAATCTTTACATTTCTAGCATTAGTGCCTAGGGTCAGAGCTGGAAAAATCCTAGATTCATTGATATTGGCGTCCATTTTTTAAACCTTGCAAATGTTTGATTTTCTGGGATGTATTTTATATTGCCGTTGCAAATTTGACTGATTTGTCATCATTATAATGTTATGATAATTGGTGGCAGGTTTGTCTGGGTAAGGTGCAGACCTCCTTCTGCAGAAAGGCTCCTGCGCCTCCTCTTGTCCTTCCTCTTCTCCTCTTTTCTGTGGTAGGATTTGTCTTTTCGTGTCATCTGCTGCGGGGGTTTGATGGCCAGGGACTCGTCCTCCTCTCCTCTGCAGAAGCACATTCAGCATGAGCCGATCAAACACACTCAGAACTGAGCTATAGCAGCCGTTATTAATGTGCCCATGCTGCAAACTAGCACTAAACCTCTCACAAACCTGTCCTCAGTCGAGTCTTCCCGTGTGTAGGGTGAATTCCTTATTGTTATTTCCATCCTGTGGTCTCGTAGCTCTCCTTCCTCCGGAGTGTCCCGTTTGGATTCCCGATCATCCGTCTGCCAGAAACAAAACATTCGACACAGAGAACGTGTAACAAATCCATCCTCACAGTGGACATTAGCAACCATTCACTCCCATAGAGCACTGCCAATTATGTAATCAGTCTCCCTATAACGATGATTAATCAGCTGACTGATTATATTGATTAATCATCTTATTGTGTTATGGACAATTTGATATTAGGGTTGCAAAATTCTGGGAATTTTCCAGACTGGAAACTTTCCATGGGAATTAACGGGAATAAACTGGATATTCGCAAAATTGCAGGAACTGGGGACTTAAATGTAGCTGAGAAAAAAAATCTTGCAGCATAATCTTGGTTAAAACAGCCAGATTTAATGCAATTTCAGTTTAATTTCCACCCTACACACACTGCTCAATCACATGCACACAGCACACTGCTTACTGCAGGGATATTGTGGCCACGCCCCCTACATGCTAGGGCTGTGCGATTTGGGGGAAAATATCAAATTGCGATTTTTTTGACAGATATTGCGATTGCGATTTGATTTGCGATTTTAAATTTGCAAAGTCAAGCTTCAGCTCAATATTGTCAATAATGTGCAGCACAGTATGGGTATCATTACCCTGCTGAAAAAAACAATAGAAACTCTTTCCGTTTTTTAAATTAATTTTTTTAATGGTGGGTGTTTATGCAGTTGGCTAGAGCAGCTGATTGGGGAGAACGGAGGTGCGCTCACTCTTGCCCAGGGCAAGTAAGACTGCAACTCAAGGCTGGCAGTCATGCATATGCTCTGGAACAGAGTAATATCGCGTCCACATCGCAGGCTTTGCGATTAGGAAATCGCACGTCTCAAATCGCGATTTCGATTAATTGCACAGCCCTACTACATGCACTGTGTGCTTTCCTCCATAACATGAACAGATCATTTCTTAAATCCTGTACACAAAACATCAAAATGTCCATCTTGGTAAGTATTCCTGTACATTACATGAATATTACAAAAAATAGTTTAAGACTTCCTTGTGCTGTGTGTAATATACTGTGCAACTAAAATAAGCTATACCATTGTAAAAACAAATACACTGACTGAACAAACATTTAGGTGAGATGATAATAAAACAAGTCTAAAAATGACCGTCCCCCACACACATTACTATCTTTAATGTTTTTAATCATTGCATATCTTTTGCTCATCAAGCCTTCATTTATTTGATCAAAAATACAGAAGAAAACAGCTGTTTTCTCTGTGAATCTCTGTTAAACTGTAATGTATTCCTGTGATCACAGCTGTATTTCCAGCATAATTACTCCAGTCTTCAGTGTCACATGTTGTGCTGCTTCATATTTTTTTTTTATAACCCTGTGATTCTTTTTTCAGGATTCTTTGATGAATAAAGAGTAAAAAAAATAGAATAGCACTTATTTAAAATAGAAATCCTTTTTTAACAATACACTACCATTCATACGTTTGGGGTCAGTATCTTCTCTCTTTTGTGAAACAAATTAATACTTTTATTCAACAAGGATGTGCTAAATTAATAAAAAGCAATAGTAAAGACTTATATTGTCAGAAAAGATTTCTATTTTGAATAAACACTGTTCGTAAGTTTTTATTCATCAATAAACCCTGAAAAAAAGCATCACGGATTGATTCCCCCCCAAAAATCCAAAAATGTCATTTTTTAAATTTGTATTAGTTTGCATGCATGCATTATCTTGATTATGAACTCACTGGTTTGTAGTGCATACAGTTTCGCCGTTTACTGCACGTTGTTATTCTTCCCGTTGTTTCCCTACAGCGCTAATGAACCGGAAGTCTCACACATTCACAGGAAACGGCTGACTCGCGCGTTGAAAAATAAGGTGGATACACCTTTGTATCCAGGCACTGAAATGACATTCACTATGTGGTACAGTGCAAATATTTTGAGCGTCCCTTCTTTTCCTACAAGAAAGCACGATTGTCCCGTATTTTCTTTAGTTGGCAGCCCTAGTTAGTGATTGTGAGTAAGTGTGCTGCTTGTATGTGACGGATCGAGCCGGTGATTATGAACGGACTGTCTCACGTTCTTTGCGCGTTTAGGGTCACTCTTCTCTTCCAGCTCTCGTCTGCGTTTCTTCTCTTGTAAGATCTCGTCTAATGTCTTAACTTTCCAGGTTTCCTTTTCGTCCCCCATCAGCTCCAAATCACCTCCCACTGCAAAACACAGAGTCACATCACTGCTGCGGGCCAGTCTCATCAACTACTTCAGAAACACGGAGAAAACCCCACAAACTGAAGCCGTGACATCAAACCCCGAAAAACCATGAAGCTCACACGTGTAGTAAGTACTAAAACAAAAGAAACCACACGTACAAACATCTGTTAAGCCTCTCACTAGCGCGCGCTTAAACCGATACTAAAATTATCATTGATAATCACTCTTTTACTCACCTGTGATGTACTCGGCGCGTTTTCACAACACCGGAAGAACAATTCACTTCCTCCTTCCGCATAATCACATGCAGGTCAGAAGATATCCACTGGTTTCCGGTTTGAAGACGTCGCACTGCCACCTTCCGGCGCTCACGCGCAGAACAGCAATATCTATTCATTCAGCTGTTGAAGCAAAGCAAGCAGAAAATCGACATGAATTGACATACAATCAAATGTGTAATGTAACGGATTAAGTTACTAACTACAATTTCTATCATGTAATTTGGAATCGGTAACGGACTACAATTTGTGAGTAATCTACCCAGCTCTACATACAATATATAGTTTAAAGAATTTTTCATTGACATTTGAGGATTTATTTTTGGTATTTTATGCCTCAGATGGGACTGTAAGTGGGTGAGATAGAGGTCCGCAAACGGGATTCGAACTCGGGACAGCCGAAGCACAACCGCGCTTTGCATTTTGTTGGATTATTAGACAAAACAATATGCATTGTTTCACAAAGTTATTTGACAAATCTGATGAGCCTGTTTCTGCTCTTCTGCCATATTTAAGAAACAACAAAAGAGTGTTATTATTATTATTATTTATAATTTATATATTTTTGCCAACTCACACAAAGACTTATATACATTTATGGAGTTATTTTCGACCAGATGGCCCTCGGCAATTAAAAAAAAGTCAAAACAATTCATAAAAAATCAGGCCATGTCTGACATAAAGTCAAGGTCACACCTTAGTGTATGTATGGTAATGAAGAATATATGAGCACACAGGGGTGAATATCACCACTTCACCACCAGTGCCTTTCAGCCCTCACAATACTCAAACATTGTGGGCTTAATGTCCCATTCGCTTCATGTCATGTCATAAAGAGTAGACACTCGAGTACTATAGAAACATATTAGCTGAGCCCCCACACATGTGTTTTTAGATAACTATGGGCCATTATTCGAAGCATAAACTATAAGACATGTCCACCCTGTCATGGACATACATATTACTGTTAAATACGATTTCATTGCAAAATTAAGATGCAAATTATATTTTTTGAAAGTTATGATGTCCCTTTCATAAACAGGGTTATTGGTTTGCTTTCAAATTATAAATACATAAAAGATTTTATGTAAACCATGTGTTTTTAAAGAAACTCTGTGATATTTGGATGCAGTTTTTTGTTTGCATGTTATTGCCCGCACACCTAGCTATTGAACACACTGTATTATTTAAGATATGATTGAATTATTATTTAAAATATTATTGTAAAATATCAAGATGTCAGGGTGGACCAGCACATGACGGTGTGGACACATAAAGCAGAACACACAAAGCATGACAAAATATGACAATTAAACATTTATTCAACTTCGAAAAAAATATATAATAATAATAAATAAAAGTACATCCTTAATCACACTGATAAGTGTTCATTTGAGTTTTTAGCAATATTAACTACAGATGAATGCTGTGTCCACCGTGTCATGTGTATGTCCACCCTATCCAGTCTAAGTGGCCCACAGGGTGGACATTTAGCGCTTCAATTAGCATATTAGCATACAACAAAGTGTGACTAGCTAAATAGTTAGTCTGGTTGTTGAAGAGAGTTTGGTATATTTAAACTTACATATTTTGAAAATACTGTATTCTAATCACTTCTGGCATATTTTATGCCGACAGGGTGGACATGTTAAGCTTTGGCAAAGCAAGTAAGCAAACTCATACAAAGAAAATGTGTCAATTGAAAAGTCACCGACTTATTCACCTCAGCCGTTGAAATTCCCGCCACTGAAGAGACACAACATCTGTTGTCCTGATGTCACTAAAGGGGATGGCCTTTTCTTAAAGGGGCGGAGTCCCCAATACGACAGGGTGGACAACCATTCAAGGGACATGGACAAACTCTTCTTTTTTATTAAATAAAAATATCGTTTTAATTACCAAATGATCAATACACTCAAACTGAGTAATCTCTTATTTAACAAAATATTAATAAGAGAGAAAAAAATTATGATTTGACAATGTTCTACTATAATTTAAATTTAATGAGCAGTGCATTGAGCATAGCAAAATAACACGCATCCTCTTACACAAAACTAAAAAAAAAAAATATCTAGAAAATGTATCTAAAGAGCCAAGTAATGCGTTTGTTATGAATGTAAAAACTTAGCCTAATGTAACACACCCTTTCATAGACATTTTTATGTTATCATGGCAAACGAGTTATTTATGCACAGGACACCAAAAGGCACCCACAGAGTCATGCAGGAGCGCCCTGAGCTCTCAGCACACAGTACAACAGCAGCTCACGCTGTTCACCATCCACCGCCTCAGAGCAAAGCATACGGCTGACTGCTGTTACACGCACTTATGCTTACAGCAGACCTGCCATCTAGATCATGTAGGCCTTTACAAAATACATACATTTGAATAAAATGATTTTTACAGCTACACACATGCAAAGCACAAATCTTGCACTGTATACATTTATTAAAGAAATACAAAATTCATATAAATCAAAATGTTACCAATGCACAAATAAAGGCCAAATTATACAGCCAATTCCCATTAGCAGTTATTGTGCAAACATACATAATTTTATATTACACACCTTACACACATTTCACATACACAACCCACCACAGTTGATAATAAAAAAAAAACCTTAACCTTGCAAAAATGTTCTGTCAGCAGATTCATTTCATTTGACAAATCTGACGAGTCAGTTTCTGGGGGGGGGGGGAAACATTTGAAGATATTGAGTAAAGAGAAAATAAAAACACAGAGAAACTTCAAGTCATATGATAATCTGGACATAAGCGGAAATTCCAGATCCAAAATAAGTGAGACGATGAGCAATATAGTGAAAAAAAGGCAGCGATGCACGTGATTACAGTAAATCATCATCGTATGAGAGAAAACACAGGCTGGACGAAGATTGTGATTGTGGTCACTGCATGTGGAATGAACAAAGTCAGAAAATACGCAAAAACTAGATCGCTCTCTTTTTCGAAAAAGGAGTGGAATGTGAATCCGTTCAATTAAGAAATGAGCTTCACCAGAAATGCAAAATATACTTACCGGTACTTGTGAAATGCCATAATTTTTATGTTGCACAAAGCCTAATTTAGGATGTTTTTAACACTGACATTAACAATGACATTATTCTCAAAGAACCAATCATGCAAAAATAATGGTCCTTAAAACAATGTCTTAATGCAAACTATAATTTCTTTTTTTTTTATTTTGGGGTCAAATATGAGCTGGATGTTTGCTGGTGAGAGTCACTCACTCTCTCAAACACAGATTTTTGTTGTCTACATGTACCCCACAGAATACTGCAATGACTGTTTGCTTAAAGGGGTGCTATTATGCTTTTTCACTTTTTCAACTTTAGTTAGTCTGTAGTGTTGCTGTTTGAGCATAAAAAAGATCTGCGAAGTTACAAAGCTCAAAGTCCAATTCAAAAGGAGATATTTTATTTAACAGAAATCACTTTTCAAAAACTACAACGAACGACTCGTTTGGACTACAACGCATATTTTCCGGGATTTATGATATCACAAATATCGACAAATGGGACGAGACCTGGTTGAGCTGCACTAGAGAAGGCAACGAGTGTTATCACTATGTCAGAGACACGCTAGCTATCCCAAGGCAGACGAACTTAGAGTGGTTACAATCATCCAGGTTTAAATCGTGCTCAAATTGATTTGATTTTGAC